CCCTGCCCAGCATCACACTCCTGCACCTGGGCTCTGCATGGGGCAAGCAGTAAGTGTGGGGCCCATGGAAGCTGCTGCGTAAGTCCTTCCTCAAGGAACAGGCATGTGGATGTGAATTTGCAGAGCTCCCAGAAGTGCTGCTGCTTGTGCCTGCCCACTTGGGTGGCTGCTTCCTCCCCAGGGTGCCCTTCCTCACAGCTGATGGCACTGCAGTCGCTCCAGGATGCACTGCTAGGAAGGGATGGCCTGGCTGCCAGCCCAGCCCTAAGGCTGCAAACCTGCCCTGGATGTACTCACTGAGGAAACCTTCCCATCAATCCTTGAGGAATAGGGACAAAGGGACAAGGACTGTGGGTGGCCTTACATGACCTTAACTGACCTTTGCTTGATTCTGGTGCTGAGTCTGAGAGCCTTGCTAAGGGCAGGTTAGGTGTGACTATTGCCAGAGGGGAGGAGCCCTGAGACATTATACTCCTATTGAGGTTTGTACCCATGGGATGAGGAGAAGGTTGGCAGGAGCCTCCTCAGCTCTTCTCTGAAGTCACTGGATTACAATAAAAACACCACACATAGACTTTCACAGTTCCTGGTATGTCTGGCCTTTTATTTAAGGCTGGAAGAGACAGGAACACACACAGACACATGAAGAGGTAGAAAAAGCTGCTTTATTTTGCTGAAAATTATACCTGAAGAAGTTTCATGAACAGAAGCTTTTGATTAATGCAAATCATTCTCTAAGGTAATAACCTGTTTTATGCCTAGAAAGTTAATAGTAGTCTCATGCAGCCCTTAATTGTTTTAGATGCACATGAATGAGATTTTGGGTGATGATGATTTTACTTATGGTATGAGTGACTGTAACATCCTGAAGGCTGACTAAGGGAATTGCCTAATATAATTCAGGTGGAAATGGAACTCCAGTAGGCGCTTTCCAGAGATCATCTGAGCCTTCCTCAAAGCGAATCTAACCTCAGTGCTGGCCTGCAGAGAGCCTTTGTCCTAAAAAGCATATTGCAATGGACATGGAAGAGCTGGGATGCAATGATATAAGGATATTGGTGGTCTGAACACCTTGCAGGAGTGTGGCTAGCCTGGGAGTTGCTGTACAGTTATGCTGCAGTGTTAACATGTCCAAGAAGCGATGGCTGGAAGGGAATCTCTTCATCACTTCGTCCAACAGCTCTACGGCTGGCAGAGTATCAAGCTGGACACGGCTTCATCTAGCCAAGGCTTGGACACTGCAGCAAGGAGGATCCCCTTGCTGAGGTGATTGGTCCCATGCTGCATTTTCCTCCAGATGAAAACATTTTCCCCACTGCCCACTCTGAAACTCCCCACCCACAGCTGGTGGCTGTTGCCCCTAACATCACCTACTTGTGCTATGAAGAGCTTGGCTATGTTATCTTTGTAAGTCAAATTCCAATAGGACTGTGTTGGGGGCTGCCAGAAGAACAGTGGTATGTAACTATCTGTCTCAGTGAGCCTCCACATGAGCTCCACTGGATCACAGGTCTGCAGTGCTGGTCAGCCCTCCTTCACAAGACCAAGGTGTAGAGATGTTTTTGCCAGGCTGGAGCCTACAGGGGAGGCAAAGCCCAGTCTGTGACCCAAGCCTTTTCAGGGAAAGGTATAGTATAAGCATAACCTCATGTACTTCTTCTTCAGCTCTGTTTTTCTCCAAAGTACTTTATTAACAGAGCTATCTCAATCTTTCCTCCTCCTGCCACCAGTAGGAACATTTGGAGTAGGAAACAGGTGAATAGTTGGGTGTAGTGCTGCAAAACAGCAGGAGGGATCCAGCCTCCCTCGTCTGGATGGACACCTGCCTAGGGCCCTTTGCTTTTGAAAATACCCACTTGGTAACAGCAGGCAATTAGCTGGAGCTGAGGGGACACCCGTGGGATCGAGAGGGAAGTGACTTGGGCAGAATGGGTCAGGAGGAGTCTGGACAAAGCAGAACTCTCTGAGGAGCCCTGGATTGCCCGGACTAGCTCACCCACCTGGGGATGCTTCCTGGCTGCTTGAAAATGGAGTATTTCACTAAAATTGAAGAGAAACCATACAGAGAATTTTGTCTAGAGGCACAATAACACTTTTTTCCCCTACAATTCATCATTCCTCTGCTCCATCCAAGCTCCTCGCATGACACCTGCTGTGCCCCACTGGCCCAGCAGTACTGACCTGCCGGGGAAGCTCGGAATCAGAGAAGCACAGAATCGTTTTGGTTAGAAAAGACCTCTAAGATATCGATTCCAACAGTTAACCCAGCACCGCCCAGGCCAGCACTAAACCACGTCCCCAGGCACCGCATCTAGATGTGTTTTAAGCTGCTCTCGGGCTGTGCTGGGTGAGGCCCGGGGTGAGGAGCCGCGCGGGGCCACAGGGACAGCGCCGGTTCCCGCCGGCCGAGAGAGGGAGTCGAAACCTTCAGCCGGGATTAAAAACACCCCCACGAGTCTAAGCAAATCACGGCGGCTGCGGCTGGGGCCGTGTGGGGCC